GGGTCCCGGCGGCTCCAGGGACTTTCTCCTCGTCTACCTGGCCAATCTGGAGGCCAAGAGCAGGCAGCTGGGCGCGCTGCTGCCGCCCCGGGGCCGAAGGAGTGCCAACGACGAGCTCTTCCGGGCGGGCTCCAGTCTCAGGTGAGCCTTCGCCCCAGAACAAAGTCCTCAGGGGTGAAGCCCAGGTCTTGCTCCCAGCCCCCTCCTCCCTCAGACCCAGGAATCCAGGCCCCCAGCCCCTCTTTCCTCAGACCTAGTAACTCAGGCCCCATCCTCTCCTCCCTCAGACCCAGGAGCCAGGCCCCCAGCAGCTCCTCCCTCAGACCCAGGGGTCCAGACCCAGCCCCTCCTTCCTACTGGAACCTGGAAAATGGGCTACCCAGTTTTCTCCTTCCTTGGGCGCCCACGCTCTCAGCCCCATTTTGCCTTTTCCTCGGTCACCCAGCAGCCCGATTCTGGTTCCCACTATCCCACTATCTCAGAATTCAGGGACCCTATGGGGCTTCCTACGTTGAGGATAAAATAAAAGTTAGCTATTACTATTATTATCTGATTCAAAGTTCTCTAGATGTGTGCACATTTGTGATCAGAACTTGGCCTGGTCTGGCTAGGTACAGTGGCTCACACCTGTAATCCCAGCTCTTTGGGAGGCCCAGCTGGGAGGATCAGGCCTCAGAATGTGGAGACCCCATGGGCTCCTAGGTTGAGGAGAGGTAGATGGACACACCCAAAGAGACTGATCATTAGGTCCCCGTCACGGTTTCTGCCTGGACTACCCACTTGGTCTTTAGTTCCTGAGGAATTAGTTCCTGAGGAATTAGTTCCTCCAAGACCTGCCTGGAGGCCACCTCTCTGCTGTACTGCACAGAGGAAGGAACCTCAGAGTGACAGGGCAGACGAGGTTTGGGGCCCAGAGCCCAGAACAAGGTCTAGTTCAGTGACTCATGCCACTTCTTTATATCAAATATTTTGTAGTGTCTCTATTTTTTTGGTTTTTGGGACACGAGGTCTTGCTCTGTCACCTAGGCTGGAGTGCAGTGGCACCATCATGGCTCACTGCAGCCTCAAACTCGTGGGCTCAAGTGATCCTCCCACCTCAGCCTCCCATGGAGCCGGGACCACAGGCGTGCACCACCATGCCAGGCTAATCTTTTTATTTTTTGGTAGAGAGGAGGTCTTGCTATGTTGTCTAGGCTGGTCTCAAACTCCTGGCCTTATGCGATCTTCCCACCTCAGCCTCCCCCAATGCTGAGATTACAGGCGAGAGCCACCATGTCTAGCCAAGTGCTTCCTTAATTCATCCTGAAATGATATGCAGAGGTTTAACAACATACCCACCTATAGTTTTTTAATCACTATAATGCCCAAATTATAAGAGAGTGATAAAAGGAATTTTTTCATAAATATTATCTCTGTTTTAAATGAAAATGCCGAGGCACAATCACTCTTGGAAGGCAGAGTTGACTAGTCAGACACTCGTACCTGTAGGTAGAACCACCATCATACAGAATCAAATAGTCTTCCCTTAATATATAGGAAAGCTGGATTTCTGCAAAATTCAGCATAATTTTTTTTTTTTTTAAGACATGGTCTCACTCTGTTGCCCAGGCTGGAGTGCAGTGATTTTGACTCACTGCAGCCCCCGCCTCCCGGGTTCTAGTGATTCTCCTGCCTCAGCCTCCCAAGTAGCTAGGATTACAGGCACCCACCACCACGCAGTGATAGTTTTTGTAGTTTTTATTACAGACAGGGTTTCACCATGTTGGCCAGGCTATTCTCAAACTCCTGACCTCAAGTGATCCACCCACCTCAGTCTGCCAAAGTGCTGGGATTACAAGCATGAGCCACTACATCTGGCCAAATCTAATAAAAGGCATATATATAGTTTTTACTTTTTTTTTTTTTTTTTTTTT